TTGAGGATAAAAAAGTGCTAAAACGTGCCAAATAGAAAATGAAAAGTCCCAAAAAAGGTGTAATTCTCTTTAGTTCTTCCCATTAGCATTAAAATTAGACAAATTAAAACAAAAGCCCAATGTCAAAGTAAGATAAACCAGTTGTATACGCTATAGAAATTAGAAAATTTTAGTTGAGAAAAAGAAGTACACGCAAAGGATTTCACAAAAATGTATTTAAATTTGGCTTTTTTTCAAAAGTGCCATTTTGGCACTTTGTGCAAAATTGAAAAATTCAGTGCCATTTCTAGTAAAATAGTGCCAAAAATGGCACGGTTTGAGCCAAGTTGGCAGCCCTGATCGCCAAGTTTTTTATTTAAAAAAGCACCAAACTACTGGAAATAGCGCAAGTTTCCCCAAAAAAAACACCAATTTTGTGTTGCTGTGTTTAAAGGTATTTTCGCATATAAAGCTGTATGTTTAAATATTTTAAGTAATCACACAATGAAACTTGTAAATATTTCCAACTATGCGCAGTTAATCAATTTAATTTGCAAAATGTTTTTTTATTCGTAAAACAATTTCCAAAACTTGGTTTTTCTAGAGGCTTTATTTTCATGCAATTGCTTACTTTTGTACAAATGCGCACAACCTGCTAATTAGCAGAATATTCTATGGATTCCGTGATAGAGACTGTGTGAAAATATTGCGTTTAGATTATCTTGGAGCATATTATCCAGAGGAGAAGCTCGGCCAAACACTAAAATATGTGTAAGTCAAATACAATGTCAAGATAGAATCACGTTTTTATTATAAAATTGCCTTAAAAAGGGCACCAAAGAACAAAACAAGCGCTAAACTAAACAATTTTCGCCTATTAATTCCCTAAACGCACTTAATTTCTTGCGAAAGGCACAAATTTGGCAACAGTTATATCGATGTCAAATTTGCTCATATACAAGCATGAATAGAGAGTGAGCGCCTGCTTAAAGAGCGTTAGCATCACATGCAAATACATCCGAGAGCGTAGCAAAGCGAACGCAAATTCATTCAAACGTAATTGGCACACTAACACAATCAAGTGCGGAACACAATGAAGACAGTGGCTACAGTGCGCCATCTGTCAAATTATTAATACACATGTTCTTATGGAAAGCATTATTTTGAACGCGACTGAGCAACATTGCGACGGTCGACAGCTGTAGCTGTCACCAGATTAGACCTATTTCTATTTTGACAAGCGACAGTGTGCGCTCTTCTTCTTGAAATCACTCAAGCGTGACATTTGCTTGACCGCGTTTTCTTTTTCTTAAGCGTTCTAAATGAAATTTAATTAATGAGATACATTTAAATACAGATTAAAAATGGATTTCGAAGAAAAATTGATCGAAGAAATTAGAAAACAGCCGATACTCTACAACCTTGGTCTTAACGATTACAAGAATTTAAGAAAAAAGGATTCAGCATGGAAGGAAGTGGCTTCTGCTATGAAATGTGATGGTTCGTATAATTTATTACCATATAAGCATTTCTTTAGTATAATTATAACTTACAATTGTAGAAGTTAAATGCAAGAAGCGCTGGAAAGGTATACGTGATTGCTACAAACGAGTAAAAAGATCGCAGCAGCTTGCTTCGGGAAGTGGCGCTCCAAGTCCTAAACGTAAGTGGCGCTATATGGAAGCAGTATCTGGACGAAGTGCAATCTTCCCGAAGGTAAGGAAGTGTAATATTAACAAAGCGCGTTCATTTAAAATATAGCTCAGTTGGAAATGTGAACGAAATTGACTTGGAAAGCACTATAGAGGAATTACCGCCTTTCACCGAGATAAATTCAACAGAGGGTTCCACTATTGAGTCTCCACGAACCAGTTCCAGCTCGCGCAAGGTTCGTATATTGCATTTTGTTGGGACCGGTTTAGTTATTTGTACAACGAATTTGGGTTGCCGGGCCCAAATGCGTGGCCCGAATCAAAAAACTTCAAACGTACTTGTAGGCAAGACTCTACGCTTTATATGAAAAGAAAGTTATTTACTATATCTGTGCACTAATTTATTAATAATTCCGCCCCTCCCCCTCCGCCACCCACCATAAAATCGTTGTACAAATAACTAATCATTTCCCTTTTTGTTAGCTTTCGTTGATTTTTGAAAACATTGTGATTCATCAAATAATTTGAATTCACAGGAAAATCAGCAAAAATTCAATGACTTCTTGGATCACGCTGCGCAAAGCATATCTATGACTTGCGCTGAATTTAGTAACCAAACTAAAGAACTAGACTCCACTTCCCTCCATTTTCAAAGTTTAGCCAACAAAATAAAGGAGTCAGGCTTGTCCATGAATGCCGTAAACGAGATTGAGGCGAACGTGTCTGCTCTGGTTTTTGCGGAGATGCAGAACTATTCATCAATTGAATTTTAAAAATTTGTTTTGCAACGTTTTGCCTAATGCATTCCAATAAAAGTACAATCATATCATATCGCACACGATCTTCAAAGGTGACGCAGCTCAAAATAACACGTTTGCCAGAAACTGCGAAAAACGACTTTAGACTTTACCAAAGGGTCTTTTCAATAAATTATAACAAGAATTTCCTCCAGCTTTTGCTCAAAGGTAAATAAAAGCTCTGCGTACATTTTTAGCGCATAATTTCAAAAATTCCAAATTGTGAATTGTGTCACTTTTGAAGATCGTGTGCGATATGTATTAAAAAGATCTCAAAATGGTTGTACTTGTTAATTTAAATTAAAATATTTATGTATACCCTTGTCTTCGGCTAATTAGTTACGTTTTGACCACATTTGGCAATATTATTATTTAATGTTTTTTTTTATAAAAATCCAGAGCTTATATCGAGAAAAATTTTAGGTATGCAGTTTTATAGCCAATTCCATTTTTTAGTATAAGGTGCAATTTCAAGACGCTGAAAAATCGTGTTGATTTTTAATATTTTTTTTTTGCTGACGGTGGTGGGCATTTTCTTCCGTATAAAAGAAATTTCGTCAGCAAAAAAAAAATTATTAAAAATCAACGAGATTTTCCAGCGTCTT